ACGGCGCCATCTGGGGGTGGCTTTGTGAAGAGAAGCGCACGGGGTGTCACTATCTGGTCACGGCGGAGAGCGCAGTGTACACCTTAAGAGCCTTCCTACACCGTGGCCGAGCCGCAGCGAAGCTCCCTCTGTTGTCTTTGCACAGTCTCCTTTAGGCGTGCGTTGGCAAAGGCGCTTGCTAGCATCAGCGTCGCGTCCATCTGGGGAGGTTCAGACAGCTTGGCATCCATCAGGCCCACAACGAAGTGGTCACGCACCAAGCGTTCTTTGACTTCTCCGTAGTCGCACCGGTCGGCCAGCGTGTGAAGCGCCGTAACGAACTGGTCCACTGTTTCCCCGGGTTCTTGAAACGACGGTGGAAGCCAGCGCTTTCGTAGACCAAATTGCGCGCCGCGACAAAATGGTCGTCGAACTTTTTCTTGACCAGAGAATAGTTTTTCGCTTCTTCCTCGGACAGGTTGAAGGTTTGAAATATCTTGCATGCCTGCCTTCCCATTGTGTATAGCAAGGTCCTTCCGTACCTGTGCTTCTTGCATCCGCTCGTTCAGTCCTGAGGCGAACCTCTAGTCGTCGAAGTCCAGCACCCAGGCGGGCCATTCCGACGTTTTGTCGAAGTTAAGACTTGGGGGCGGCTGGACAGGAAAAACCCCTGGCTGCGATGGAGCGCCTGGCCCGCGCCAGTGTTGCTTTCGTCGCCGACCATGCTTGAACTTAAATGGCAGCCATGGCGAAGAAGGGACGACGATGATGACGAGAGGGAGTAGGACGACGACGACGAGGGAGAGCAAGGGTGTCATCCCACTTCTGACACCATGTCGCGTTTGCTCCGGGATGAAGGCAAGACTTCCAACTTGGGGCCCAAACCAAGAAGTGCCCCGTTTATTGCCACACCCACATATATACACACATATCAGGTCACATGATGACAACCTTGCGCAGCACTCCTACGGCGAGCCATCTCGAAGCAGACAGTAGAGCGCGATAACTGATAGCCACGCGCGTCTTAGGTTATACCGCAGGAGCGATAACACTACAACGTGGAGGGGAAAGGAAAGGGGGTCATACATGCTTCGCCACTCCTGAAAGACGGAGAAAGTCTAACAGGGAGTCGAGGATGTGCTTCCTCTGCTGGTTCGCGAGGTCCAGAAGGGTCCACTTTTCATACGTTGTGGGTCTTCTTGCCTGTGGGGCAAGCTTCTTCCACGCTGCTTCGCGATACCGCAAACTTTCAGCGCAGTCCCACACGAGGGGGGAACATGTCGCCGGGACACCGCAGTATCCGCAGCTGGGGTCAATGCCTGGGTCGTTCGGGTCTGTAGGCTTATAAAATCTAGCCTGCCAGGTAGGCGTGATGGCCGTATTTGTTTGGAGCCGCCTGATGCTCACCTCCTCCCACCGGTTGTATTCCGCCGGGATCGGATAAGAATCTGGTGGAAGTAGTAAGATGAGCCTGAGTTTTCGGGCAAGTCTCTCCTCTCTTTTTATCTCATCTGAATCAGGTGGTATGTCAGGCCTTTCGTCTTGTTCTTGAGGTGCGAGGAGGGGATCGTGGCCTTGTGAAGGCAGGGTACACACATACATCCGTTTAGCTGCGGCTTCGTTCGCCCTGTCGTTTCCCGGGATGCCTTCGTGGCCTGGAATCCAGTCTATAATGACGATGACATACGGTTTTGATTTCTTAACAACGCTTTGTATTTGGAGCTTGATGTCATTCTGCGAGCGGCATTGTTTGCATTCACGGAGTGCTTCTTGCGAGTCTGTGCAAATAATTACATTGGGTCGTTGGGGGTGTCTGTGACTTCCTTAACAGCTTGCAGTATTGCCAACAGCTCTGCCGTCTTGGAGCTGCTCGTCTTGTACGTTTCCCCTCTTCATGTTTTGCCGCGGGTGGGTGAGCTCCATGCTATGCATGTGCGTCCAGCCTCATTTCTGGCCGCGTCGGTATAGAAGACATTGGTATCGCCTCCGAGTTGTTCAATCTTCTTTAGGTGTTCTTCACACTGGTGCTGCCACCTCTTCTTATTGTCTTTTCCTTGGTTTTGGGGGATTGGCCTACCTGTAGAGATATCCTCCATTTCCCATGGGGGCGGCGGATGTGCTGCAGTGCAACAGTTGTTGTGTCAAGGTCCGCGGTCTTTTCTAATTTCTGCAAGATGACTACCATGGTCCGAGCGAGACAGCCTTTTGAGCTGCCCCAGCACCATTTCGTCGGAAATTTCTCGGACCTTGTTGCACTATTTCTCCATGGGGCGCGGTGCCGTCGGGGCCGAGATGCGCTCCGATTGCAAACCGAAACTTAAAAACCCGTCGAATTTGTGTGGTCTTTTCAGAAAGCCGTAAAATGCTGTGCGTGCCTTCTATCGTTCTGCAAATTGTTGATGTAATGTTTTTCGGTGATTCTGCGCAATTTTCTAATTGAAACCATGCCCTTAAACACAATATTAAAAAGTAATTGCACAAAAATAATTAACACTAATTATCCCGGATTTTAATAATTTTCCTATATAGGCCCTGGCCAAGGACCAAAATGACATGCCTTTTTTTTTTTTTTTTTGTTATTGCGACGCATAGTGTTCGCAATATCGAATGTATCAACTTTTCGTGAAACACCCTGTATATTAAAGATAATAAAGGTCCGAGGACACTTCCCTGAGGCACCCCAGAGATCACAGGTACATGGGAGGAGACTGCATTGTTGAATTCTGTTGGTAAGGCCGATATGCATTCAACTTTTGGGTGGGTTGATTTAAAGTTGGTAAAGTTTTGAATTTAGGTAATTGCATAATTTGTTCAAATTACCGCACCGAAGTGATTAGTGGGCATTTCTAAATGATGCACAGCGTTGTAACAAATCACGTTCCTCGTTTGCTACGAAAAATAGTGCGACAATTTCATTGCCGGTTACTTTTGAGGAAATGCTGGGGCGACTTCACACTGGCACCGGGCTGGTGCTTTTCTCCCTTGTTTTGCCGCAGTGTTTGGGATAAATTATTTTAAGTTGGGACTTTACTAATCGCTTATCGTTTAGTTGGCCAAAAGAAGGAGCGTAGAAAGTCAAAAGCCAGCTTTTCGGTACGAACATTTCAAAATATAGCGGACTATTTTGTACCTTCTCTCCTTCGAAAGCTCTCCGCCTTTTCACTATGATACATCCACGGTTCCCAAAGCGCGTCAGCAGTGCAAACCTGACGTCAGTCGAGCCCAGCTCACGCATTGGACACGAGAACTGCGTCACTCGGACGTATGCGCTCGTCAACAATAAATCCGTCGACGAATATTCGGATTCGCGTTCGTGGCCAATGAGTGCCCCGACGGAACTTATTGTCACTGGGGAGTGACAACCTCTATGGTGTGCACAAAAATCACTGTGGAAGCTAAGAGTCATCGCACCGGTGCCGAAGAATGTAACGACGACGTGATTTCACAATTCGCATTTGAGTTGAGGATTAAAGCTAAGGAGGAAGAAGTAGGAAAATCGTTTCATGATTCCTTCAATTTCCACTATACTTCGTTTCAGCTTCGGTCAAGACGCAGCCGATGCTACAAGCGCGAGCATGTGGCCCAGAACAGTGCTTGCACTGCACGAGCGCGCGTGCTTGGCAGGGATGCTGAAAGCCCGGAGCTCGCGCTTGTAGCTTTGGCTGCGTTTGGACAGAAGTTGAAACAGAGTATAGGGGCGGCTGGTCACCGCCGCTGCCTTGTCAAAGGCGGTGCTTCCTTTGACAAGGCTGTTTCCTCTCTTCCCCAGTTGAAACTGGGGAAGAGAGGAGACGGAGAGCGCGGGGGGGGGGGTACGCCAGAACGCCAAGCTCTGGTTAGAAGGATTATACTCCGTTTCTTCACCTAATGTCCGGACGCAGCGGACACTATCCTAGCCAACCCCGTTCTGTGGACGTAGCCTGTGATACGCTTTCCGTGCGTCGCTGTGCCGCCACTCCAAGGTCACGTGACACTCATGGGTCTCGGATTGGCTCCGGTGGCTCGTAACATCTGCTGCACTCGGACGTAAGATGAATCGGAGTGTAGTGGGTAAACATAAAGCCAGCACTCGTCGAAAGCATTCAAATGGGAGTGCCAAACGCCTGCGTTCTGCGTTGATGATTGCAGTGGAGTCGAAGGCTGCATTTGCCTCCACTGCATGCACGTGTCGGACGCGTTCGAATGCGAGAGCCGAACGCCGGACGTCCGCGTTCGACGGCGTTCTGACGTCTCTCGTCTCTTTCCCCTCAATTTCTAGGCGCGAAGGAAAAAAAAAAAAAAAGCGAAAGCATGAATGTCGTTTTTGCGCGCGTCCTCGTGAAGTTGCCGCGCCTCGCTGACATCAGCCGTGCTACCGCTCAGAAATCGGCTGGCGCACTCGGCGTGCCGCCGCCCTTTTGCTGGCGCAGTGGCGGCGCGGGCACGCAGCGCCATGGAGTGGCGCTAATTGAAACACGCGCTGCCGCCCAATCCTCCAGATTTCGGCTTCATTTCACTGCCTTTTTGCGTGACTTCAGAGCTGGGATGCCTCAGATCGCGGCTTCACTTCGCTCGATGGCGAGAGGGGAATTTATCTGCCGTTTGGCGCGGCTGATGATGTCGGCTCGCTCCATGGGACAGTTAATGCTTTGGCATTAAAATACGACACTCGCTGCGGGGGCGGTGGGCTCAGGCTCGGAGAGTCTGCCGGAGCACACAATCCGATCCCTGCTTTGAGGTTACCGTATATAGTCCGCGGAGTTCATTAGTCGAAATAGTGCGCTGTGCGGACTACGAAAGGACTCGTCTATTCGAGATTGTTTATTTCGTACGAGATGTTGAATTATGTGAGTCAAATTGACGATACTATATATACTTGTTTTCATCTAAAAAAAAACGCGCTGCAAAAAAAGGCGGCTTTTGGCGAAGCGTTACCAATTTCCCCCTTTATCTAGATAAGATAAATGTAAATGCATTTTAGAATAGATATATGCTACCTTATCCAGAAGTACACGTTTCAAGTGCGAAAAGCATCGGTTTTTCCTCCGTAGGAAATTACTTTGCACGGCGTATGAACAATGTACAAAACTTCCTTCTTTATTTGAGGTGAAAACGAGTATAGTGGCTTGAACAGAAAGGCACGTTCGCTCTCCAGCCTTCTAGACGAAATCAGATATTCACAGTGCCTGGCGGCCAAAAGATGAAGCTGTAAAAGTAGGTCAAAAACGCGCGATGGAAATCGCCAATGTAATACAAGCTTCTGTGTGCTCAAATGAAAAAGGGCATTTTCAAGGCGTGCTCTGATAGGACAATCTTCACGCGCGGAAGACGCAGCACGTGTGTTCCGTCGAAATTTGCTATGCGGGCAGAAACTGGGTTTAGAGGAAAAAACGACACTGCGTGGGGGGTCGGCAGAACGGTCCGTAAAATAGGTCTTTGGAGAGTATCGCATTCCTTTGTCTTTCGCCACCAACTCCTCATTAGCGGAGGAGGGTCTCGTGCTCAAAAATGAGCTTGGGACGAGACACTGCGCTAGCGTAGCTGGCGTTCTGCGTGTGCTCTGTGCGACGCCCCAAGCTGTTCAGGGGATCCAAAGCATTGGGGCCCCCTATTCTAGAACTCTATTGAGCCATTCAGCCCCCCCAACCCCTTCCCACTTTAGCAGAGCTATCGATGGAGAGGAGGTCGCGCCCTCTCTAGCGTTCGCTCTGCTAAAATGTCAGAATATGTTGCGCGGGTGCACCCAGGTACTACTGACGCGGCAGTTAAAAAAGACAAAAAAAAGTATGCATTATATTGTGCATTTTAGTACTATTTGGTTTGCGAAAGAATGGCCGTTTGCTGTGGCGTTCGGCAATAAATGCTGCGATCAGCCCGACGGGAGTTGCTTCTTGAGCGGCTTGATGAGCTCCAGCAATCTCTGGGGCTTATTCTTGGTGCTGTTCGGACAGGCGCCGTTCCAGTCGTCCATCTCGATATAGAACGCAGCCCATCCAAAGGGCAGGCCCGCCAATTCCTTATAGGCACGCTTGATCTGAGGTCGACGAAAGAATGATGCGTTACGTACACGTCACAACATGGCCGATTGAATAGACGAAAAAAATGGCCCGACATTCCATCTGACGCAGTAAAGATGTGATAGCACTTGCTGGAGATTCTAGCGAACATGCACTTTCTGTCAGAATTTACCTTAGAAACTGGGACAAGGTGTTACAGGTCACCGTCCCGTGACGTCACATAACGTCATCAGGTCACGTGACACCGTGACGATTCTCTTAAATTTAGCGGGAAACTGAAGTCACGTGGCCTTTACGTCATATGATGTCAGGTCACTTGACTTCAGGTCAGGTGACATCCATTCCCTCGCTAATTTTAACCGGAAAATCAACGTCACCGCAGAAGCGTGACGTAACACTCTAACTTCACGCGGCTACGGTGGCGCTGTAGTCGGCACTGCGCATGCAGCAGGCGCTTCTTTTGTTCTCGCACGAATCCTGTTTCTGCGCACACGCGCCTGTTCGTAAGCAGCGTGTTGCTCTATAAAACTATACCGCTTCAAAAGTGAAACGTGTACCTTTTTGCGGATCGTGTCGAGTGTGTCATATGTGCGCCATATCCTTGCTTTCTTGTCGTAATCATAATGGATTGCGTCATCTTTGTACTCGGCCACGCTGCCCTCTACCATAGGGTTCTTGCAGACCTTAAAGCACGAGCGGCGGGAGATTAATTGATCAATTGTCGGCCCCATCCAGCGTGCTCCAACATACTATCTGATACCAGAATGCCTAAACATGGCGACATAAATGTGTCCGTCTTTAAAAAAAAAATGTTTTTTTTCCTTTGCCTCGATGGTTCTGCTTATACAACGAACGTTCGATAACATCGAGATCAAATTCAACTTAAAATATCCCAGAAGAATATTTTAGACGACAGTCATAAAATATCAATAAGCAATAAAACTTTTCAACAAATACAGGTTCTTTTTTATTATTTTACGGTTTTAATTTTGTTTGCATTAAATTTTATCGGTTGCGTTCTCAAAATTGTCAATTTCTGCTTTTTTTGACAAAAGCTCGTGGTGCTTGGGTGTTTGCAGACTTAAAGGGGCCCTGCAAGGACTTTTTACTGTTTTTTAATTTGCACCGAACCTGAGCGCACTGAACGTAGTAACGTAGTGAAACTTTTCTCTTCGCGAAATTCGCTTTATTTTAAAAGTTATAGGCAATTTAGAATTACAAAAACAAGCAAAAGATAACCTCCTTCATGACGTCGTAGGTCCTGGCTTGAGTGGCCGTGGACTAGAGGAGGCATAGTGAGCTCATCGAGCGCGCACGGCCGCCGCACTTCGTGTCGACGGCGCCAGAGGGCGCCACTAAAGCATTTTCTGGATAGGCTGTATGCAGCGGGCAGCCAAAGCGGCTTTCATTGCGTTTGCTGCGCAATTAAACACTAATTCGGCATGACACTTCATTGGCCACAAACGACAGCAAACACGGGGTAAATATCAGTTCAGAATGGGAGCCACTTCGCGCTGCCATACCGCGAAACGGCCAAACCGCAAGACAAAGCTTCTCGCCGAAGGCCTTCGGAACGCTCGGAGCCGGTCGGATCCTCCTGTTCATACGACTGCAGCGCCACCGCGTACATCCGGGATTTTTCGGTGTCGGCGCCTTATCCCACTACTTTCTAGTATGCGCCGCCTTTTCCACCGCTTGGCGGCGGGTATGTTGACGGGTCATTTCTTGTTTCCGTACTTTATAAACTGCATTTCTTTCCTTTTTTCATCTATAATAGTGAACAAAAACTACTTTTATAAGTAATTGAAATGGTTCGCGCCACTTATACTTTGTATTTCGACCAAAAAAGTTTTTAGTGGCTCTGACCAGTAGTAAGCCCAGGACCAAAGACGTCACATTTTGCGCGCTTTCGGTACCGCGGGTCGCCCTCGTCGGTGGAGGAGGTTTCCGTGTCGTCCGGTTAAAATATGGCGCACTGATATTTAGCTACTCTTTCCGTGCCCGCTGGCTTGCCCGAACCCCAAGAGACATGGAAACCGCATAAAAGATAGACGCTTAAATATGATTGCAGGGCCCCTTTGAAGACCGAGGTGCGATGTTTGCCATTGCCACCGATCAAAAATCTTTTTTGTTGAGGTGTAAATTCAAAAAATAAAAGTGAGCGTTTTTTGTTTTTTTTTTATTTTTTTTTCGAACTTTTTTTACGCAATACCTGACGACGTAGTTCGGGGGTCGGAAAGTTGCCATAGTCCCCCGACTAACGATATTTGAACGCGGCTCATAGATTGCACCCGAGTGGCTCGTGTCCAAACGCTGCGATGACGACGGAACGGGATATGCAAACTTCCCGTGTCTTCAATTAATATTAAGATATATAGAACAACCAAATCGCCTAAGAACGACCTAGCGCAGCGGGTGAATAATGCTCACAACATACTTTACTCTTGATGTGAAAACAACTATATTGGCGGTGTTGGCCGAATGGGAAACGCTCAAGGTAGATGCAAATTAAGCGATATGTCATGATGTACTTGCCTTTTCGTAGGAGTCGAAATGCATTGTGCACCCAGTAGATTCCAGCTTATTCATGTCCTCGACCCAACCTCTTTGTGGCAAAAATCTATGTATGCCCATTGTCAGCGAGAGAAAATAGGTCGCGTTACGAGCGCCAAGTCCTTTGACGATATCGATGGCGTCCGTCTGTAAAGGTAAACGAGAGGGGAGAGTTCTTGAGCACTGTATTTCGCTCCAACAAAGGGTAAAAAATCATGTGCGTAAATTTGTACATTTGAAGACAACTACGTCGCCCTTTTCTGTTGTATCACATCGTTATTAATAATAACAGTACTATAACAAAGACAACGGAAATTTGTGTGTTCAAACAGACAGTTCATAAAATGTTCATATATACGACTTCACAATTTAACTCGCAGTAACTTTAACAAAATTCATTACGTGATTTTGTTTACAGCGGACTTCAACGAAATTTGAAATATATCCGCCGTCTTCACAAATAGGCTGAATATGATCCACAATATCCGTAAATGACAATCGCACGTTTGTATTTTGAGCCTGATGGCTGTATTTTTCGTTATAAACGGCACACTCTGGCAAACGCTCGGAGAGCAGCCAGCGAAGAGCACGTCACATTCGCCGCAATCGTGACGTAGTTTGTCTCGGGACCTTACGTCCGAACGCAGCAGACGCTGCGAGCTATCCCAGCCAATCCCGCTCTGTGGACATAGCACGTAATACGCCTTCCTCGCGTCGCTGTGCCCCCTCTCCAAGGTCCCGTGACATTCACACGGCCTTGGATAGGCCCCGATGGCTCGTGGCATCCGCTGAAAGCAGCTAAAGCACACCAGTGATCGGGCCACAGCAAGGAACCCCAAAGCTGTCGTTGTACGAATTTTGAGTGACGTGTTAACCCAAAAGCGAGAGTCTCAGGGAGGGGGGAGTTCCTCCTTCAGCCCATCCCTCGTCATGGCCGGAGCCGAGACAGTTACCGTCACTACCTGTCAAGCTTCCTAGACGGGCATTACAAACGATGCGCTAGCTACATCCACCAAGTGCTCTTTGCTGATCGTTTAATTTGTTGGAAAATTCCTTTTCGACATTTTCAACAAGATATTGGTGTGTCTGATGTGATAATGCTTTACTGAACACGAATAGACCAAGAAATAAGCGCTGAAATTTCGTTGTAGTATGAAGGGCTAGTTTCCCCACGATCGTGTCCATCCGCAAAGAAAAGCCGACACAACACTCTGGTTGCCGCCGTCGCTCATAGATGGCGGTAGCTGTCCAGAGTATTGTGTTTGCCGGTTGTCTGGACTCCGGTTGCGCCGTCGCTCATAGATTGCGGCAACCTTTCCAGCCTTTCCATTCTGGCTTGCTGACTTGCGGACGGCCATTATTTCATTCCCACCATAGTACAGCTTCGGTGGTCTTCCTTCTTCACCAAAGTGGAAAGGCTAAAAGTTTTCTTTTGTCTTTTTTTTTGCGAGCGCATGGGAAAATGAAGAAGAATGGGGGTGCATTTTTTTTACAATATACTTACGTCCTGCTCTTTGCCAGGTAGATGCAAGTTACAGAGTTACAGTGACTCGCAAGGGTTGATGCCAATAGCGAAAACCATGAAACACAAATTTCTTTTCTAATTTATACGGTCAATTTGTTTTCTTCCCTTTTGGTAAAGGGGGGGGACACTGCCATCTGGAATAGATCTAGACTTGGAGGTTACGCCACTGTCTCAGATTACTACACAGTCAAGCGAGAAGGCGGTTCATTTATGATTTATGTCAATAATATGGACCCTTTTACTGAAACACTTTGTATATGTATACCTCCAGGTGAAGACCGTTTTATATACCGTCGTGACCACGAGTCGCGTTTCAGTGTCACCTAATCGGCGGAGTGTGCTTCATCAACTTCCTGCAGGGCTCACCACGGACTGAAGGCTATGGTCGCCAAGGGTGGAGGTCCTGAAGCTGCTCATGGGTCTCCTAACGCAGCCACTGCCGTAGGCGTCTTGTCTTGGCGAATGAGCAAACACAATATACAGACTGACGTGCCTGCACAAAACAGTAAGGGCGTATGATGTATGTATTTGTTTGTCGTCGGATCAAAAAAGGGGGAAAAAGACTTCCTCGTATGTGTTGGTTTATTTTTATTTATTTATTTATTTATTGAAATATGTTTTAAAAGTTTGCATTGTGACATTAGGCGTGACGTTTCGCTGTGCTTAGTGTCACAGCGCATTTAGGTCTAGACAAACAACCTCGTCAAGCTCCCTCCAGATTGCAGTGATGTGGCTCATCCCAAGTGCTTTGTGGTCAAGCAGACGCTCCAGATTTTTTTTTTCTTCAGATGCAGCGACTGTGAAAACGAGTGGCGCCATAGGTGGCGCCACTCATTTTCCAAAATGGCGGTTATGGTGAGGGTCGCAGATGCGTGCCGGCGTACCAGTTGCGGAGCCTGTCTAGTGTGCTGGCTTCACTGAGCGACACAAATTATTCCTACCGCTGATATCTATGACAATTGCTGAATCGCGCTTCCCGCTCCGCGAGTGAAGCCACCGGACGGCCATTTTGCTCGTAGACGATTCGCAGCTTTTCTAGCGTTACAGAGGCTGGCGACTGCGTGCTGAAGACACGTTTTCTACTCGATAGTCGTCATTCGTCGAAGAAGATTTTTAAGACCTTGTGTAAGGGTTGAGACTTGCCGTTGAGAACACGTAGAAAGTTTTACGAAAGCGCAGTGCAGCAGGAAAATGCCACAAAAATGAATAAAGATTTTTTACTGCTGATTTGATTGCCATAGGCGTCTAGTCAACAAAAAAAAAAGAACACGCGCCATTGATGCCGTTCTCTCTCTCTCTCTCTCTCTCTTTTTTCCGTCGCCACCACAGAAATGATCAAGCTCATTTCTGGACCGCGAGTGCCGCAACTTACAAATACAGCCAGAGCGAAAGTTAAACGCTGCCCAGAGGTACATACGGCTTCACGCACATTGTTCTCGCAAAGCACATCCACACGGCGCTGAAACGAATCTTGATCGGTATCCAAGCGTGCGAAGGCACAGAGACGCAGCACTTCGGCGTGCCAAGGAAGCTTTGATCAGGCCGCGAGACTGGTGACATTTGCTTTCGACGAGTGGTGCCTTTACATGCGGCTAGCTTCACGCATATTGCACTTACAAAACGCATCCACACGGCGTCGATTCTTGATCGGTATCCAAACGTGCGAAGGCAGAGACACGCAGCACTTCGGCGTGCCAAGGAAGCTTTGATCAGGCCGCGAGACTGGTGACATTTGCTTTCGACAAATTGTGCCTTTACATACGGCTTCACGCATATTGCACTCGCAAAACGCATCCACACGCCATCGATTCGTGATCGGTATCCAAACGTGCGAAGGCACAGAGACGCAGCACTTCGGCGTGCCAAGGAAGCTTTGACCCGCGCCGCGAGACGTCGTGTCGTGGAGACGTTTCAGAACTGTTTGCAAGTGTACCGCCCCTCTGTGTGAGCGAAGTAGAAGTCTTAGAAGCAGGAGGTTGCTCGAAGAGAAAACGCATAGAATGAGGAAGTTTTTCGGCCGCTCCCATGCAACCAATTGAAGAAGCCACAACAGCTGCTTGTGTCGAGTCTTTCCCAACACTTTCTATGGTTGTTCCAATTATTCAGTGTGTGAAGATGTTGCTTTTTGAGGGTGCAAGTGGAACAAGACAACGCGTTTCCCCTGAATCTTCTCGGGTCATTGAAAACAAGGTTCCTGGACGCAAGCTCACAGGCGCATCACGCCCTTGCCACCTTCCTTAAAGGGCAGCTCTGCAGTCAATTTGAGCGTTTTTATCGAAACATATTTTCGGAAAGGGTACTAAAAATTCAGCCTATAGCAGCGGTTAAATCATTAAAAAACTGTTTACATAACTTATAATCGATAAAATACGCTGAAACCAAAACCGAAACTAACTTGCCACTCGACTGGTCCGCCATTTTGATGTGACGTCACATATGGTATAAACACTCGCACATGTGCAGTTTGAGCCTGGCCAGCCTGGCAGTAGGTCACTGTTTTGTGTTCGTGCCGCGGATGAAAATGGACTCATCAAGCTCGTCTGAATCGAGCAACGATGAGGATATGCGGCTAGATTTTGAGGACGATGATGATAACCCGTTTTCATACGATCCGCCGGCATCGCCTCCGAGGGAAGTGCCAGCGGCGGCTGCACTCGTGATCCGCCGCTGGACCCAGATGCCGCTTCCGAAGCGAAATGGTAAGGCAGTTTTTGTTGCTAGCACGCCAAGAAAAACTGATCGACGTTATGCCTTTTAATTGGAGGCACTTTTTGTTATATCTTGGGGTCTGAGAATAGACGGTTTTAGTAGACAGTGTTCTCAAGCGACGCTTCCGTAGCGCGAGATCGCGCCGCCACTTCCAATCATGCTCTAGCGCGCGCCCGGAGGGGTAGCGGGCCTCTGATAACTATCTACTAAAACTCCCTATGGACAGAAGGCACGAGCGCGGGGACGGAAGATGTCACATTGCTGCGTTTCTTTGCGGTGTTATTACACCCTACGGCACAACACCAATTCCCTTAAGTCGCCATTACGCGCTCTTACATAACTGTATAAACCGATAAAATAAGCAAAAACCAGACAGTCCTAGCACCAACAAGCTCCAAAGCAAGCACCCTGACCAACATGTGACGTCACGGCAACGTCAGTGCCATCATGGCAGCCTCCGTGTGCCGCTCTTCCTCAGTGTTGCCAGTAGGGCGGCAGCAAGTGATTTGGGTGTGGACGTGTAAATTTCAAAATTCATTTTCTTCTAAGAAAATTAATATTTTTCTGAGATATTTCGTACACATGCTCAGGAAGGGCATCCAAATACATGGTGAAAATTTTATAGAAATCGGTGACTATAAAAATTACGGCGGAGATGCCCTTTAAGCCTCAATTCAAGAACATCTGCCACAATGCTTCAGGATGTACCAGGCTCAAGCGAACTGTGATTCTATGTTCAGCATCCGCGTTAACCGTAATATTAACATATTAGACAAAACCCCAAGACGGAGGAGGGAGGTTTTCCGGGCACCTGTGCCCTTTTGGTTGTCCGGGCACCTGTGCCCTATAAAACCACGATATTCTGTCCAATAAATTTCAGCTGTGTTTGAGACTTTGTGTTGTGTTGTCCTTTTTTCCCCTCAGTCTCGGGGTTTTGTCCATTATGTTAAACCTTCACCAGCTTGTTAGCGCCCTAAAAGTTTTTGTTCGGTAATATTAAGTTTAGCATTCTAATATTTTAGTAGCTTTTGTCTCTATTTAAATATATATCGTTGAACTCTAGTTATTATTGGGTAGTCGTGTTTTTACAATAAATTTAAGGAACATTTTGGAACAATAAATATAGATTTATAATCTCTGCTCTTCTTTAGTAGCTGTCTACTTACTACTATTCGGAAACTATTTGATTTGTATTCGATTTGGTCCCACAATTATTCTATCCGCTTTCAAAAGTCACTATTCGCACACCCCTACCATTTTGGCTTTAATCGGCCGTTTCGGCTCCGAAACAGATACGGTGGAAGGGGCTCAAAAGGGTGCCACCCCAGACCCCCTAGCGGACGCGCCGCGAATTACTGCTGAATGCGCCTAGGTCGGGACGCGCTACTTGAAATCGCCGCTGAGACATGGTTGCATAAAACCAATATTAATTGTGCCGCAAACCTTGTAAACTAAAGATTTTAGAAAACATCACGCGCCCCCCGTTTTTTTAACTAATCTCCAATAAAAGTTCCTACAAAACGAGTTTTTCATTAAACTTGAAGAAAATGAGAAGGGACGGACAAACCCAAACTTCCAACTGGCCTATGTTTTTTTTCCATTTGTTTGTACGGAAATACGGTTCCAGCCGCTGATTGCCCGGCGCGGCCCGTGGCAACAGCAACGGCCGCCGCGATTGGCCGGCGCAATTGACCGATTCAGTATTGTTTTAGAAACGGTCAAGAATTCCTAAATATCGGCTGATATAGCCGATTCAGACCCGACGAATTACCGGAAAACGGCACTAGATACTGTATATCAGCATGGCGTTGGCCGACCCAAGTGATGTTCCGCCGACATCGGCCACATCACAGGAATACTGGCACGATTTTTACGATCCAGCGCCAATATCGGCAGTATCAGAATGGTATTGGCCCAATTTCTCCGATCCGACGCCAATATTGGAGCAATATCGTGTGCTGCCTAGGTGTGTGTACCACCGTCGGTCAAAACTTTCTTTTTCAAGTTGCATTCTAATACACTACCAGTCAAGCTGTTGTTAAAGGAAAAAATGAAAGCCATTTACAACTCCCTGTAACGCCGAGTTAGAGTGCAGCTCTTGAGGAGGAAGAGGGAAGAGTACTGGGGGGTTGGTCAAGTGACCTCAGGGGTGGGCGGTTCACGTGACCTTGTGGGGGGTCACGTGACCCAGTGGGAGTCACGTGACGTCAGGGGGGGTACGTGACCTGGGGGCCACGTGACGATACCGATGACGTCAGTGACGTCACTGATGACGTCATCAGTGACGATCACGATGCGGATGTCGGTGACGTCATCAGTGATGATGCCGATGTTGATTTGGATGCAGGTGACGTCATCAGTGATGTCACTGATGACGTCATCAGTGGCGATGACGTGAACGGGGGTCACGTGACCTCGGGGCTGTTATCCCCAGGTCACGTGACCCCTGGGGGGTCACGTGACCTGGGTAATTATCGTGACCCTCGTGAGGGTAACCCCAGTAACCCTTGTGAGGAGAACTCTCGTGACCCTCGTGAGGGTAGCTCTCATAACCCTTGTGACCCTCGTGAGGGTAACGCTCGTGACCCTCGTGAAGGTAACTCTTTTGAGGGTAACTAACCCTCGTAACCCTCGTGAGGGTTACGAGGATTAGTAACCCTCATGAGATTAACCCTTGTAACCCTCACGAGGGTTACGAGGGTTACTCGTGGTTACGCCGACGGCGACGCCGCTCAAGCCGGGAACGGGCGCCTAAGAGCTGCGCTCTAAAATGTGTTGATGTTCCGTGGACGGTGGACTGCAGTTTATGTAAAAAGCCTGAAACCATTGAACACATATTTATTTTTTGCTGGGACGCGGTATTTTTTTGGGATGTGCTCCAGCGCACATTGAAGAAAGAGTTGTGCATCACCCAATCTGGCATTCATTTTAGAGCGCAGCTCTTAGGCGTCCGTTTCCGGCTTGAGCGGCGTCGCCGTCGGCGTAACCGCGCGTAACCCTCGTGAGGGTTACGAGGGTTACCATCAGAGGATCACGAGGGTTACCCTCGTAAACCTCGAGAGAGTAACTCTAGTAATCCTCGTAACCCTCGTGAGAGTAACTCTCGTAACCCTCATGAGAGTAGCTCTGATAACCCTCGTAGCCCCAAGGGTTAGTTACCCTCAAAAGGGTCACCCTCACGAGGGGCACGAGGGTTACCCTCACGAGGGTTATGAGAGTTACCCTCACGAGGGTTATGATAGTTACCCTCACAAGGGTTACCCTCACGAGGGTCACGATAGTTATTATCACGAGGGTTACCTTTACGAGGATTACCTCCTGAGGTCAGGTGACCTCAAGGAGTCACCTATCCCTCAGTACCCTTCCATCCTATCCCTCGGTACCCTTATCCTCAAGAGCTGCACTCTAATCCGGCATTACAGGGAGTTGTAAACGGCTTTCATTTTTTTTAACATGACTAGTGATGATGATGTGCCTTTTGACATGTTTATGTTACTAGGGTTGTGTAGCATTTGGAGGTTGCGCATGGCTGTCCACCATGCAGACTTCAGTGCAAAAGACGTGCAATACCACTTTTTAGAGCGCAGCTCTTAGGCACCCGCTTTCGGCTTAAGCGGCGTCGGCGTAACCGCCCGGTGCATTATGGGACGTGTGACGTCACTGATGACGTCATTGGCATCGTCACTGATGACGTCATCGGCAACCGCATCGTCATCGTCCCTGACGACGTCATTCTGTGGGGTGACGGATGGCGTCATCGGTGACGTTACAGATGACGTCCTCGGCACCCGCATCGTCATCGTCTCTGATGACGTCATCAGTGACGTCACTGATGACATCATCGTCATCCGCATCGTCATCATCACTGATGCCGCCATCAGTGACATCACTGATGATTTCATCGTCCAAGACCTCATAGGGGTCACGTGACCCCCGTGAGGTCACGTGACCTCGGTGACGTCACGTGACCCTTGTGAGACTACGGCGACGCCGCTCGGAGGGAGGAGTAGCAGACAAAATGAGGAGGTGAGGAGGAGGGAGAAAGGATATACTTTCCCCTCAGTACCCTTCCACCCTCCTCCTCAAGAACTGCGCTCTAATCCGGCGTTACACGGGGTTGTAAACGGCTTTCATTTTTTTTTTTTTTTTAATTTAGTAAAGCAAGTGCAAAGTGTATTTTCGAATTGTGAGTTTAAATCCTATTGGCCAGAGATTTGTGGTCCTCTCCACGAGATGCGAGGGTTTTAATGTACTCTACAAAAAGGAATTGTGGAGCTTTTTAAAATGATTTGACTGTTTTGCTTTCTCATTGCAATAAAGATATAAAAAAAAAAACTGGTAAAGATAAGAGAACATAACGGGGTGTTAAGGAGTGGAACTACTGACCTGCACTGCAGACCACGGCACCCGGGCACTTATCATCCGCAAGCATGCCACGGCGCGAGACTTCTTCATCAACTACCATTGAAAGACTCGTGCCATCCTGAATGACTGACTGGCTGCAGCCAAATTGCTGTCGCCACCACCTCCCGCTCTACTAATCAACGGGAACGAAGTTTGCGCAAGTCATGACGTGCATCAACGGACCGGATATAAAAAGGGGAGCGCGGGACAAGGGGAACCCGCGACCAGAAAAACGCTCGGTCTGGGTGAGCCGAGAGCGACCATTCATCCCCCTTCATCGTTCTAATTATATCATCTAAAACCCTACCCTGGCTTGACGCTCCTGTGTTCTCGTCCCTCCCTCCGGAACCTAACAGGGGCAAGAAATGTGGTTTCGATAGAAAGAGACAGCCTCAAGGCCCAAGAACAGTTCAATGCAGCTGTCTCAAAAAAAAAAACAAAAAAAAAAAAGTTTTTTTTTGGACCGTATAAATTTAGATGTTTTCGGTTTTCACCGGTTCAGAAACAAACCGCCTCGGAGGTTAATTATCGGTGTTTATCGGCATATACTGAAAACATGGAACCCTACGTATAAACAGGATTTTGGTTTAGAAAAATTAAGTAGTCAGTATAGTTAAGGAAATGAATGCTGAGATACGGGAAAAGAGGTTAAATTCATACATATATGTACACTGCTAAAAAGCCTAGAATTTTATTTTTGTTTTAATATCAAAACCTAAGTATATCAAACGACGCGCATCCGTAATCGAGTATCTTTGCCAGTGATCACAAGGCATCATTCTTTTCTTTCTTTCTTTTTTTTTTTTTTTTTCGGACGCGGAAATATAGTTTTCCGCTTTGTGAGACACAATGCGCAAGGTACTTGGAAATTGCCTACCTGAGAAGGCTGATGGAATGTTTGACAATTCTCGCCACTGCGTCGGGGTGGGATGCCGTTGTCAGCAACAGACCAGCGAAGAGGATCACGCCATTGTGTTTCTGGCTCTGAAGCAGGTTGCGAAGGATCTGCGGGGAAAAATAAGTCACACCCACGAAACTTGACAAACATAAATGGAAAAGAAACTGGAGCTGGATTTCGATATATCAATCAAACCGTCATACTCTGATCTTCACTATAGGGATCTGGATGGCGCATTGAACAACCAGGTATGAAGACACCGGAAGTAAGTGAGCGCTCGACGGGCTTGTAAACTCTTCAAAGTCCTCGTTCGAACAGAGTTCAGGGCGCTGGATTTTTTCTTGTCATCGCAAGAGAGCCTGCTTGTTGCGCAGTAACAACGCATGCTGACCCGAAAAGTCTCCTGGGAAGCCATCTGATGTAAAAATTTTGAGATTTTAGTTGATCAAGTGTGCACATGTCCCATGTTCAAATGCCTAATTCTCGGGATTTCATTCAAAACAGGACTATTAAAATCTACTCAGACACAAAAAAGAAGGGACCAAAGACATCAACTGAATGCACTAGGGATCCCAGCAGACGCTCGACTTCCAGGACAGGCGTCGAACTTCCAGTGGCTTCACTTGCGACAAGCTCGGAGAGCCATCAGCGATGCAGAATTGCGTTTTAAGGGGAACGCAGCCGGAACGCTTTTTGAAGTATCCGCCTTCAAGGCAACTGCCGTTGCGTCTTTTCTAAGCGTCGCCTTCGTCTTCTCCACCATATGGCTCTGCTCTCCACCACTCCCAGCAAATGCGGGGAGTTTGCGACGTAGATGTTTGGCAGGTGGCCAGCTCTGTGACCTTTAGCTGTGCCACACCACGCATGGAGTTGGAGTTTGTAGAGTGCAGCTCTTATACACCCGTTTCCGGCTTGAGCGGCGTCGCCGTAACTGTGCGGTGCATTTAGGGAAATGTCCCATAATGCACCGCGCGGGGAGGGGGAGGAGGACGAGGGGGAGGGGAGGAGGTGGAGGACGAGGGGCAGGGGAGGAGGTGGAGGGTCGATGGGGAGGAGGAGAGAGGGAAGGGGGAGGGAGGAGCAGACGAGGGGAGCAGCTTGAGGGATGAGGGGAGGAGGAGGTGAAGGAGGAGGGGAGGAGGACGACGAGGAGGAGGAAAAGGAGGTAGGAGGGGAGGAGGAGTATCAGGGAGAGTGAGGAGGAGGGAGGAGGGTATATCTTACCCTCAATACCCTTCCCTCCTCCTCCTCAAAAGCTGCGCTCTAATTTGGCGTTACAGGGTGTTGTAAACGTCTTTCATTTTTTTTATGTTGTTTATATAGGCACGAGTGAGAAACAAATGCGCCACCTTCCCCCGAAAAACTACTATTCTGCTACATAATTGCAAAGGAAAAAAAAAAAATTGTTTGCCGATCTGCAGTTGCGTGTGGTGGTTACGAGAACTACGGTGTCGCGTCACTGGAGTAAAAGGTGGAAGCCACGAGACCAGTCCCCCTCCACATAGCCTCCTCTATACTCACAAAACAGTTTGACGAAGGCACCATAGAGTGCTCGGTGGCAAATTTGGAGCGCGAGGATCTGGTAGAACGGAGCATCAAAGAGCCATTTCTCGGGGAACCTGGGCGTCAGCGCACAGCTTTTGCAGTGGCGAGTACCCGAAACACACTGGTATCTTCGGAAGAAGTATGTTTCGGCGTCTCCCCACAACGGGGTGCCAGTCACGTGGCTCTCCTCTCATCCGTTGTCTGCCGCTCCCCTTTTTCCATTTCGGGGGCTGCTTCTCGTGGCGATCTGACAGGCTTGGTCCCTCCGCTGCTACTCTCGCCGTCAGCCCCATGACGAACCGTCTCTTTTCTAGGTCGCTCACCGCAACGTTCAGCCATGCTACTCATAAAAAAAAAAAAAAATGACAATTACGGGGGAAGCAGCTGCGGGCTAGAACCCAGTGGGAAACCAGGTGGTCCCCCAGCGACTTCACTCGAAAGACGGCGTGAAAGTTGAAAAATACCTTGACCTTCGATTTGTTTAATTTTTTTTTTTGTAAAAACTAGAGCTTGCAAGGAAAAATGGTTTTCTGTTTAATTCCGAAAATTGTTTTATGCCGATACTTTAGCTTTTTCATAATATTTACAACAACAAACGGAGATAAACAGTGAGATTCCTTCAATCTCCTCATCTAATTTCATGCAGGGTAGACCACAAAAAGTCATAATTTTTTTGAAGGTCTAACATTTTCAAATACTCATTTATCCCTCTTACTACTCATCAATGGAACCGCTTAGCTGAATCACATGTCATGATTCAATCTAACTCTGTTTTTCTCTACGATTATTGCAGATACGGTGTTTGAGCTTTGTATAACGATTCTTTTTTGCTTTATTGCTCCCAGAGCGTGTTAGCTTTCATGTTTAAACTTCATGTTATGTGTTCGTATGGTTTTTAATAATGACCTCCCTTCCCTTCTTTTCTCTTTGATGTGTTCGGGCTTTGTATGCTAAAGGATAGCGCTTGATTCACTGAAGCGTGCTTCCCTAAGCCTCGCCCATCCCTCTACCCTTTTCCCTCTCTCCCCCCCGTAAACCAGGCAATGTGAAGTCTGCGAAGACGCGCGAGTGCCGAAATTGTCCTCTCCTGTTGACTTATTCCACAAGCCTTTCCGAAAACTCCACCGTCCAGGCGGTTGGTTGCAATACACTCTAAAAAAAAAAGTGTAGTACTTACACCCATTGGGGTGTATGTGACTGTCTCCTCTATTGTCCATGTATTATGCATGGACAATTAAGGAGATGGGCATACGGCCCCTGCAAATGAACGGAGCTGTACATGTGACTTACTCCACGGGACGAGTGCACGCCAATGATACGTTGTCACGTGCCTCACCCCTCTGACGCCCTGATACGTTCGTGGGGGCCGTACACCTTTACCCGTTTCCCAAGTTCCCGCGCGGAATGCAACCCACTCACGCTCAATTTGAGCTCTAATATGGAGCCAGCCTTGTATACGTCCAATTCCTCCTTGTAGTTCGGGATACCGATGCCCTTGATACCCTCTCGAATGTAGGGCCCTAGCACGTCGCTGTGTTTCAGGACTTTGATTGTCTCATCCCAATAATGTAGGTTCATGGCCAGCATCGGCACTGTCTTCTTTAGGCCAGATACCGCGTCCATGAATCTACGCATGATCTTATTTCCTGTTGAAGAGAAACAAAATACGAAGCTTAGAGAGACATCCAAGAACTATTGCCAGAATACTATGCCAAAGAGGCGTCGATAATCAAAACGATATGTGGCACCCATATTTTCTGTTCTGTTCTATTCGCGAGATGGAACGCCACTTTTAGTATATATCTAGCCATCAGTGTTATGCCGGTTACCAAATAAAAAGGTAACGAGAGAGCGTTACGCGTTACCTTGTCAAAAAGCATCGCGTTAAGGCTCGTTCACACAGTTGTGCTAGCTGTTGCTATGGCGACTCTTGCGACGAGCGAATGTGGACGCTCTGTGTTGCACCACGCAATGCAACGCAACGCAATGCAGTCGACGCAGATGTGGGAACCAGCCTTTACTGAAACCCGTCTATTCCTACTGCAATGGTTTTCTTTATTATTGTTCGGCAGCGATAAGACGACACAAACTCTGTCAACTACTGAACTGTTATAGAGTGATTGTGTAATTTAGATATTTTTTTTATCCTTTCCTCATCGGATTTGTAGAATACTGTGAGGTCCCGATGGCATGCACGATGGCCCTCTAAAGAAACCGGAAATGGAACTGATCGAGAAAGAAAAAAAGTAATGAGGAACGTAATTTGGTAGGTAATGCCATAAAATACTAACCAAATTTTACTTTACTCGCTAGTCATTTCGTATACTGACGAGCACGACGTTCTGTGTATAGTCATGTTGATGCCGAGTACGTTACTGAAAAACCTAATGCGGTACCATGAACGCCGTTACATGTAAGGCGCTATTTTCAACGCTGTTAGCCATCCATTGCTGCAATGCAATCCTATAGGACAAACAATACACCGTTCAATCACTCCGATCAAGCCGCAGAGACGCGGACGCGCGCGCACACGCTCACAAGGTGACTGCATTTACATGTACACAAAATAAATATCTAATTTTTTTCGAAAAAGCAAGTTCATGTAGGAAAAAACTCCAGGTGGACTTTTCTATCGAGCGCACATAGACTCTCTCAATATGTATAAAAAAAATTTTTTTTTTTTTATATGCATTTTGTAGATCTGATGCAATCGATGCGCTGTTTATGCCGGCAACGTGGGAAAGCAAAGTATACCAGGTACGTCCCAAATACTTTAGTGTGGGAAAAACGTCGTACTCCGCGAAAACCCAATGGCCTTGGCGCCGACAGCTTCTGCGTAAGTTGGAACGGTTGGGCGCACGCAGCCTTGGGGTTTTGCCCTTTAAATTGGGAGTATATAAGGTTAATTGGGAGGATTGATAGGTCGCTGCCGCCATCTACAGTTGTGGAAACCCACCGAGACTGAGGTCTTTAGTAGAGACAGCGGAGGCAGCCGTGTGTGCTGTCTCGGCGAATCCGTTATCTTGGCTACACCGTGATCTCGGTGCTCCGCCGACAGCCCTCCCCCTCGACGCTCCGCGAAAGCGTGCATGGAAAGCATGACGTACGTGCGTTTTCTCGGACGCGGGCTTTACCCACCACTAGGGGACGATTTGGTGCTGCAAGCATGCTCTCCAGTGGCGTACCAGCTTGTTTTTGAGTGGTGGGGTGGGGGAGGCAAACCATACCCCCCCCCTCCCCAGGCCCAGGCGGCAGTGCCCTTGGTATCCCTTGGGCACCGCCGGCCAGTGTTTGCCCTGCCCAGTGGCGGCTGTTACGGCAAGGGGGGGGGGGGGGGCAAAACACGTGCCTTGCCCCCACTCTGAGAGCTGGGGGGGGGGCAAGTGCCCCTTGCCCCCCCCCCCCCCCCCATTTTCCTTTTGGTATGGCCATGACGCTGTCTAATACGAATGAGCGAAGTAGAATGCATTCTCCTAGTAGAGCACTTGTCTTACCTTGCATGATAGTGTCACCTGCAAGTAGGCCTTTTGCATACGTTTGGTTTTTTGCCCTAACTCTGTCAAACACAAGATAGGTGCAGATACCGTCGTCGGGGACTCGCGCGCCAACACTAGTGTTGCCGGTCACGCACAGGAGTGGCAGGGTCACTGCACAGGGGAAGAGGGCATCACGTCACCTTGCGGATGATCTGTCTCGAAGTTCTTGAACACCGTGTGCGGGCGACACACACCATCGTTATTTCAGATATTCGTACATCCATTGACCGACCGACTTACCTATTTAATCGCTCCCACCCTCGCTAATTCACTCCGCGAGTCACTAAGTCATTACAAAAATACTGTTACGCTTCGTTTCACCCTGTAGGATGGACCACAGCGAACTCGACGAGTTATAGCCGCATTGGATTGGCTGGGATTATGACTTCGGACTGCACTACTCGCCCCGCACGTCACTGCGCGCCCTCTAGAAGGTCACGTGACACTCGCACGGCATTGGATTGGCTCCGGCGCATGCTCAAATGCTCACTTAATGCGACCCCCCCTCACCTTTTTTTTTTTTTTGCACATGCAGAATTTAAGGAAAGGGGGGTACTATAAAATACCTGTGGGAATCGGAGTCGTCGAGGGTGGAGTGGTGGTCAGGACCGTGGTGGTGATCGAGACAGTCGACGAGACGGTCGTTGGTGTCTGTGGTATTTGAGTGGTTGTGAGCACCGTAGCTACCGTCGTACTGGCCACGGGGACAACTGTTTTGGGCATTTGGGGGGATGAGGTCACTCCGGCTGTTGTCACCTCTTTGGTCGATTCTGCGACTGGAAGTGTGCGGTATTTGCTAGTGTTACATTCCGCGTCCTTCGAATCAGACAGCCTTTGAATCAGATAGCATTGCTCGAGTGACTATGTGAAAACTTCAAATCCTAACTAACTCGCAAAAAAGACGCTTAAATTTGATTGCAAGGCCCCTTTAAGCATGAACAACATTTGACGTATTAAAGACAACGGGAAACCCTTCCAAAAGGGTTACGAATGTTTGGTGAGGGAACAAAGAGAGAGTTATACTTTGTTTCACCAACGCAGTCAATGCGACAGGCGCGAGCATGGGGCCCTGAACAGTGAGTGCACTGCACGAGCGCCCGTGCTCAGTTTGGACAGTCAAGAATGCATTCTTAGCTGTACTCACAGCGCATGCTCAAACGAACTCCCAATAATCGGCTCCCAAGATCGGCAACACTGATCGTATGTGCACGTTACAGAAGTGGTGTGGGCAGTCAGCATGCGCTGGGCAGCAACCGACAGCTATGCATCCAGCAGAGATTTTCGCCAAATTTCTTAGATCTATCAATTGACAAGATCCACGAAAAAGCGTCGTTCGAAAGCGGTTCTATTTAAAACCTCTCGGTGTGTTTGCGTTTGTCTTGCAAGTAGCGTCAAATGCGCCAGTGCACGAGGCCCTAAAGCCTCTTGATAAATGCGTTTCTTACAAGTACCGTCAACCATTGTTGTGGAAACGCGCGAGACACGTGCCAGGAGCGGGTGCTCCGCCGCCATTCAGTTCCAAGGGCGTTCAGTGCTGCGCAGCCATTTGCTTCCAAAGGGCAGCTCGAGACACAGGTCTCGACTCGTACACTGGCGCATTTGACGCTACTTGCAAGACGAACAAACACATCGAGGGTTTGCACGAGGCCGGCTTAGCTGTATAGGCTCTGCAAGGCCGGCGTGTCTCGAGCGGCCCCTGGAAGATAGGCTGGAAGCAAGTGGCGGCGCAGCAGTGAAATGAGCGGCCCTTGGAAAAGCATTAAGGGACTTTAGTTCTTGTCTGCCTTTGTTTCTGTTTCTGTCTGCCTTTGTTTCTGTATTTCTTTCTGTTTTTGTAACAGTGTAAGCTATGGAGCATAGAGACTGCACAAAATGAGGAAGAGGGGCAGTTGAAACAGTTGAAACGTGCCGCGCGCCACTTCTAGGAAGAACATGGTGTCTAAATCTAGCTCAGTGCTGCGCCAAATGCTTTGCTGCGCTGTACCGCCATGGTCTTCTCAAGGGTTGCACATGCCTTGCGCATCGACGCACCTTGCGCTATTTTTGAAACATGAAGGGGCCGCGGCTGCCGCGAACATTCACCTTCACATGCGCGTGGACTGACGCGGACCTCCCCTCCGTCAGGGCTGGATTCGGCGCTGTAGGCGTTCTGTCTAATGCAAATGAGCATAGTGAAATGTATTCCCCTATTCCCCCTAGTAAAGTATTTGCTTCTCTATTGCATAGTTTACTACTCCGCCTCGCGCGGCCGCATGCTAGGTTGACCGAATAGGATGGGATGAATACGAGCTTCCCAGCGACTACCTCCAGGAATTGATTGATTTTTTTTTTATCGACGTCTATCGAAGCAACATTTGTGTGCAACTCTTGTCGTGGGACAAATTAGTATTATCAATGGCAACGGCACCAACGCCAAATTCAGCTGAAAAAAGATTGATACAAGTGCGTTCTATTTTTCAGATATATATTTGCACCCGGATATTATTTCTTTGTTTATTTATCTTAATAGAAAACACCGCAAAATTAAACTTTGTATTTCGAAGAATTAAAAATCAAGCAAAAATAAACTCCAACAAACTCCACATTTTCGGCAAAAAAAAAATTGAAAAATACTTTTTGAATTTGACAAAAAATAAACTCCGAAAACACGGAATCTTATATCTCGGACGCGGCCTGTCCATCGCTAGGGGAAGATTTTGCGCTGTGGTCACGCACTATGATGCAAATGAGCGGAATAGAATGCATTCTCGTAGGGATGTATTTGGTAAACGAAAAACGAGTAAAGCAGGGAACATGTGAGTGACGAAAAAGGGGCGCCGCGCGGTGATTCCCATAGCAACAGCCCAGGACGCTGTGACATGGACCAGAACCTTCTGACGTGGGCATATGCCAAGCCGCCACGTCACAGCGTCCGCGGAAGTTGCTATGAAAACCGCCGCATGGCGCCCCTTTTTGTCGCCCATGTGTGCAGGCAAGCTGTTGATACATAATTAGTCATAATGTAACACCTGAGACAGTGCTGCGGAAGGAAAGCCGAAGGAAGAGACAACGATAAGAAAACTGTTTTCTCCTTCTACTTCAACGTTTCTTATTTTTTTCCCGCACCACAGCGTCAGATGTCACACGATGATTATGATGCATATACGGTCATACATGTCACCGTTGTAGAAGTGACTGTCATCTCTTCGGAGCTGTTGGGAGTCAACCCTGGCATAGTCTGATCCTTTGTCGTCTTCGCTGCTTTGCTCTTCGTGCCTTTGTGTTCTTCGAATCTGACAACTGAAAGAATAAAGCATACAAATAGTTTAGACTGGGAAGCGTCCTTGAACAGAGTGCAAGAGTCCTCAAACCGAAGATCTATTAGCGGTCGAACGCACTGCTCTTTCAGTCATTCTCCTATCCTTATAGACTGCTGTCTTTTGCCGTGTCTCGAGTCAACCTACGCGTCCTACTAAAGATCATGCAAAGCAATCTGCTATTAAACGCCATTAAGCTATTAAACGTAAAAAGAACATTGTTTTTTTTTCTGGAGGATTTATGTTTAGCAGACAAGGAGGCCAGCTGGAGATAGGACAGTCGACATTGTTGTTTTAAAGCTGACACTGACTTTAACATCGACTCGGCTCTCAAAACTTACAAAAATGTTTGCGTAAAACAAGGCTAAATTACAAAAAAAGAAAACTTTTATCTTTTTTAATTTGGTGAAGAAGGAAGACCAGCGAAGCTGTACTATGGTGGGACGACCTCAAGGACGACTTCTTGGACGGCCTCAAGGACGACGCCAAGAGGGCGACGTCTCCCGTACGAAAATGTCAGGTACAGGCCGGAATGAAAAATGCCGGTGCCGCCTGGACCCGAAATTGGGGCACCAGTTTGTATCCAGCTTGGAACCGCGCACTTCCAGACACCGCAGTTCCAGACGGGATACAAACTGGTGCCCCAATTTTAGATCCAGGCAGAACCGGCTGGTTCCAGTGGTTCTGCAGAGCCACTGGTACCGTGTGGTACCAACCGGTGCCCCAATTTCAGACCCAGGTGGTGCGCCGCCGGAATTCCCGCTGCGCTCACCCACCCCTGGTCTCTATAAAAGTATTTCGTGCGATGCCCTTAGCCATTAAAAGCAAGATCGTCGCGATTTCAGACCAGGGCGGAAGATCCCGGGTCTGAGATCGAGACGATCTCTCGCTTTTAACGGCTAAGGACATCGCGCGAAATACTTCTGTAGAGTCCAGTGGTGAGCACAGCGGGAATTCCGGCGGCGCACACGGTCGTCCAGACGTCGTCACCAAACACGGTGCACAGAACACACACACACAACACGCTTAAACACAGCATCCAGTGATGAGTGCATCGGGAAGTTCCGGCGGGCAAGCGTATCCGAGTTCTCCAAGTATTGTCCCCAAGCACTCTAGCGCATCCAGATGCCGAGCCAAAGTGCAATGGGTCAGCAGCTTCATACTATATGAAGATTCAAAGCCGAGGTCAGTGGGTATCCATCGATGGGCGCGTTAGTACCCGTGCGCCCGCAGCGCGAACGTCGCCGTCGCACGAGCGCCGGCCGACAGTTCGACGAGAGAGAAGACCCGAAACTCTCAGAGCGCTGCCGCCAACTGCGGCAGACAAAGTGAGGTGCGGAGAACGTTCGCTCAGTGTGGGGCCGGCTATTGGGCCACCTATAACTGTTGCAAGCGAGATCCAACTTGTCACAGCTTCATAGCTGTGATAAGTTGGATATTGTGTCACGGCTGTATTGCCATGGCATTATGTCATGACTATGTATATAGCCGTGAAAAGTTTGATCTCGTGTCACGGCTGTATTGCCGTGACATTATGCCACGGCTTTGTTGCCATGACAAGTTGGATCTCGTGTCATTGCTATATTGCCGTGACAAACAATGTCACGGCAATGCAGCCGTGACACCAGATTTATTTTTTCACAGCTTTGTAGTTGTGACATGCCAAGTCAATACAGGCGGCCCATCTTCAGCCGGGCCGTTGAAGATGACTGTCCAATTTGCTGTCTTTTTTCAGCCGGCTGTTTCTACACTTTCCAGCACCCACGCGCAAGGAAGAACAAGAACAACGACTCAGACAGTTACAAACCTATTTATTAAATTAAACCCAGTGTTCCACTTGACCTACTCCATGCTAACAAAAACAACACACTCAACCACTTATGTAAACTAAGATAAGTGTACAGGGTTTACACTTAAAACATAAAATTAGAAAACAAGTGTTTTTGACCTTAAATCAAATGAATAAAAAATATCAACTTGATAGTTTGTCGAAGTTGTTTTGCTGTATTAGCTAGATTGCTTTCCGGGGTGCGACGTTTGTTTTTAGAGCGCAGCTCCTAGGCGCCCGTTTCCGGCCTGAGCGACGTCGCCGTCTGCGTTGCCGTCGGCGTAACGGCGCGTTGCATTATGGGACGTTTCCCGTAATGGCGTCACACGTGATGTCACGAGGGTCACGATTGATGTCACGAGGGTCACTCATGACGTTACGAAGGAAGGTCGCGACCTTCACAAGTGACATCACGAGGGTCACTAAGGTCGTGAGTGACGTCACGAGGGTCACTCATGACGTTACGAAGGAAGGTCGCGACCTTCGAGAGTGACATCACGAGGGTCACTAGGGTCGCGAGTGACGTCACGAGTGGTGTTACGAGGAAGGAGGGAGGGAGAAAGGGGGAGGAGGATAGAGGGGGGAGGGAGGAGGGGACATACCCTCCACACCGTACCCTCCCCTCCTCCTCCTCAAGAGCTGCGCTCTAATTCGGCTTACAGAGAGTTGTAAACGTTTAATTTTATTTTATAGGTAGAGCTCAATCAGAAAAATGGAAATTTCTGTTGCCCCTGATAAGTACCCGCTTGGATATGATGCTAGCGAAGGTGATCGAATGCGCAAGTATGGCGACATGACTTTACCTGGATGAAAACATAATTGTGTTTTTCAAAACCAAACAGGTTGCGAGAAAGAAAACAAACCATAGTGCCTTTCGGACTCACAAGTTTTTTTCTTTTTTTACTGAAATAATGTTTTATTGCCAAGAATATTGTATACTTGGATCACAAGAAATTTTCGTTTTTATCTTTTTAATTTTGATCCAGTTAAAGTTATGTTCCCGAACTTACTGTATTAAAACAAAAAGTGACAAATTAAAAGCATCAGTAACTAACTACGTTGTATTGGTATAAGCTTTTTACCTGGAAACGTTCATTTTGAAGTCTTCACAACAAAATCTGTGTTCCATTAATTGATTCCAATATATTTATTTACAGATTATGTCACGGCTTCTGTATTTTGAAGCTGCGTTTTCCTCCAACAGGTAAATCCCCTCCCAGTCACCGTTAGTAAAATATGCCAAAGTATAGAACCGAACAAAAAGCGGCAACTAGCTGCTTTTGTCAGCTAGCTAATCTCCGACTTTCGGGAATTCGCTATAAATGTTCATCGGCAGGAAATAAAAATAAAAAATTGATCCCTAGCAGTGTATTTCTTTTCACCCGTCAGTGTTCAAAGCTATGAAAAGTAAGACGTGACAATTGAATAATAATAAAAACACAAGCGTAAAACAAACTTGTGAAAACCCTGATGCGAAATGTTTGCAGCGAATGTTTCCTTAGGTCAAAAAAAAAAATTAAATATACTGTAAACGACTTAATTTTCGCAAGGACCTAATTTTCGCGAATAGCCTACAATTCGCGAAAAAAAGGTCCCGCAAACAATTCAAGTAAAATGAAAACACATTGGAATTTATAGCGCGATCCCACCGCGTCGCGAAAAATAGAACCCGCAAATTATTCCAAAACTTAAGGTTTGACCTAAATCGCGATATATTGAGCCTGCGAAAAATAAGTTGTCTACAGTATTTTATAGTTTTTTTAAATGCGGACATACTAAAATGTGAAGCCTGATATCTAACCCCAGGAATATACAAAACATCTGCGTAGGACAACTAGCAAAACGCCATTTCTGTTTGGCCTCTAAATTTAATGTACGAGAATGCAATAAAAACTTTCAATTTCATGTTTTTTTTCCCCAGAATCACGCGTTCTCTGCCCGTGCATATTCATCGTTATTCCCTTTTTCGGTACTACTTCCATTTTTCATAATTCTCGGTAGTTCTCCTGAAAGCTGACTTTGGGTAGTATCGACAGTCGACCAAAAGCCAACTATCCATAGTACTATTGGGTGCACTATCGACAGTACTACCGATGGTACTATCGATAGTCAACTATCGATAGTACCGCCCCGGGTGCAGCGCTCAGTGAGGTGCAGCTAGGCAGTGAAGGGGGCGACGAGGGGCGCAGCGAGCCACCGCTTTCGGTGCCGCTAGTCAAGAAGGTAATGGCGAATGCCCCTCAAAGGGACTCATATATCCCTCCTCCACCTCACATCCAATAGCGCCCCGTCGTTTCCGTGACGTCATGGTCAACGCGGGAGAGGGTTTTGCCTTCCTGCGAATATTTGCTTTATCTTTCGACTTTGACTTAGCGTTGTGGAAGCCACGAGAGGGAAATTAGAATTTTCCCCCTTCGATGGAAACAAATACGACTTTGGGTGGTTAGGTTCCCCCTCCGATGGATACAAGGGCCACTTTCAGGGGCTAGGTTCCCTCTCGGATGAATACAGTGGTGGGTCGGAGACAAGTTGGCATCACTCTGTAGCCATTATCTATTCAATGAAGCAGAACAAGGGGCATTTCCAGGGAACTATTCTTTCGAATGCGGATGAATTGGAAACGGGCGCATCACGCTTATGGGAGGAGCTTCTCCTATCTTCTTGACTTAACCGACCCCACTGAATCGTGCTGTTCCTTTTAATCTGTGGGAAAGAGCGAAAGAGCCAACCAGGATGCGTCCTGCTGAACGACTCGGCCCATGCACTCTAAAAAATGTCTGTGCGTCTACTTTCACGCACAAAACTCAGAGAACCAATCAGCGCAACTTATGGAGGCAGCTCAGCAAATGACAATACCGAAACATATGTTTAGACCAAAAAAACGCAGACTGAGTTGTGACATTAAGCAATGCAAGCGTGACGTTTTGCATTGCTTAATGTCACAACTCAGACTTCGTTTTTTTGTCTAAACATATGTTTCGGCATTGTCATTCGCTGAGCTGCCTCCGTAAGTTGCGGTAATTGGCTCTCCGAGGTGTGGTGCGGGAAAGCAAACTCACTGGCTTTTTTTAGAGTGTGATATAAAATTAACTGTGACCTGCGTAGATCTGCCAAATAAAAGCGTGTCGTTAGAACGCTTTTTTTTTCTTTTAATCCCACGAAAGTTTTTCGATTAGAAAAAAACACAAAAAAAACATTTGCCTATTTGATCTTATTCAGCTCCCCTTCAAAGGCGAGCAATTATTCAGTTAGAACCCTTTCTAACAATGCCAATACCATCACCATAAATACTTCACTATGTTCCAAAAAGTCGATATGATGCTGATATCGTCTGACGCGATTGTTTTCACGAGGACAAGATAATGACCGCTCACTTACCCACATTTGCTTGAATGACCGAATGAAAGCAGGAAACGTCAGTGGGTCGAGTAAAATTGGTATACATGGAAAAAGAAATGAAAGAAAAGAACGAAATCAATCGTTAATTTTGCCATGGCGCAATGTGATCACGAAAACGGAAGGCTAGATATCATGCAGCTATACGCTTTTTTTTTTTTTTTTAGAAAGGTCTTATTAGCATTTACCAGCGTTCTCGTTCGCGAGAAAAAAGAGGAGCAGGAAACCGAGTATGATGGATGCGACGGCAGCGAAGATCAACCAGATCCATGTTCCCCTAGAAGCAGAGAGAGAGAGAGAGCGAATGCGAGCAGTGTCAATCAGGACGGAACTATGGCCTATACCTAGGGTTCCGTGTTTTCAGATTAATCCAAAAACTCCGAAAAACACCCGCCGGTAAAATTTTGTCAATTCCCAATTGTCCTGTCAATTTTTTTTTCATCTTACACTTTTTCTTTCGAATTTCATTCCCAGTCTCAGGATTTTGCATCAACGCCGAGCAAAAAGCACAGAAGCCGACGCAACTCGAGGTTGAGGAGTGTCTCTACCTTACCAGTGGCGTCGGAAGAGGAAAAACAGGGGGGGGGATCCAGTCCCCCCCCCCCCCCCCCCCTTAGGTATTTCGGACTGTTAAAATACGGGGAACGAGGGCGTGGTCGAGCTTATTTTAATCTGAAATTATTTATGCATATGTATAGCTACTGCCGCTCTTCACTGCATAAAAGATTGCGTAGATGGTCATTGTTAGAAACTCGTCAGGAGGCACTACTCGTCACATGCTGGCTAGCTGGGTCCAGCTGGGTTCCAGCTGGACCCAGCTAGAATCCAGCTGGACTGCCTCATTTCCAGTTCCATAATCCAGCTGGAAGTGGGCAGATTTTCGCCTGTTTATTTTCTTTTATACAGAGTGGAAGGGAAAGAAAGTTCGCGCAAAATCGGGCCAGGAGGAAATTATGCTAAGGCAAAACTTTGACGTTACTTCGGAACACGATCAGGGAGCTATTTGAAACGGAACGATTCTGTCGCGAATGCATTCAGGAAAGTATATAAATTGGCTAAAATGACTGGGTACGTAAACTCGACCCATATACTTACGCCTCTGTTGGGTAAAAAGAAAGTTCAACGTTTGTACACCGCTTGCGGGGCAGTAACGTGATTCAGTAGACGCGGGACTTACGTTCGTCGGTTCCTGACTCTGTGGAAGCAACAAGATTTCCTCGAAAATCACCGGTGTTTAATAATAAACGATCGGGCGCCCTGGCACATTTCCTTCTTCGATACATTTATTTCCTTCATTCGCTTTCGGAATCAGGCGACCAAAACGGCACCAATAGACTACTTCCATAAAGCCCTGCATGCAACACGGCGCGCGTTGCACTCTGGGAACTAGTAGGCCAGGGAGAAGAGTGGCATGGTTTCGGTTTCGATCGACACGTCGACAGGAGATTATATACACAGAGCGTGGACTATTAACGGTCGTTATCTCATGTTTTCTGGTCCCGAGAGCGTCATTTGTGGCCTCTAAACTAACCTAAATGGCCAGACCTCGAAGCTTTAGCACAAGCCTGAGACGTATAGCTTGTCTTAACACATGCTTGTTGTATTTTTGTACTTGAGCCTTCCTGTTAGCGTTCCAATCGAGGTATGTGGACGAGCTAGTGCTGGGAATCTCGACGCTGCAAAGCTGGGGGATCTTGCTTGTGTACGAATCAAAAGCTGTAGCAACCAATAAGTATGCATACATCGAGCTCGCGCCTTTACATTAGTGTTGTTGATCAGGAAGTTTGTTTCGTGCGTCCATAGACAAAATATTACTTTTTGCAATTACTGTTTTTCTTAGTATGGCTGAGTATGCGAGGTAAAACTCGGAGGCCCCATTGGAAAGCTCAATTTTAACACACTTCTTATCTCTTATCTGTACTGACCCGCAGCACTGCACGAAGTGAAATCCCCACCCGCTTGCATTCCAATTCAACATCGCGTATGCGCATAAAGTTCGCACATACACATACACATTCGCACATACACATTCGCACATTCGCACATACAGACCGTGTTAAGAAAGCAAAAGTCGAGCACTTGTTTGAAGAATGTCGCACCGTTCGCCGGAAGTGCGCCGGACGGGCATCAGCCCCTATGCGTCCGGCGCACGGTTCGACATTCTTCACACAAGTGCTCGAACGAATTCAAAGCGCGTTTGACGGTTGCTAATGGCCATAATATTTGTTATGTGTTTGTTTTCTTCCTGCCTGAGTATGCCGAGATAATTTCAGACACACCGTTCAGGCAAAGATCTTGGGCGTCAGGAAAAGCTCGTCCAAAAAAGGCTTAGCGAGGAGTAGGGGACGCTTGGGCCTCCGTCGTAGCTAGCCGACCTCAGCGTTTGCGAAAAGTTAATCTTCTATCGGAATAAAATTTGAGTGGGAGATATATGATGACACGAGGAAGACATCATAGTAACTTTTGTGCAGTAGTGAGGTCGAATTTATTGCGTTTCCTTAAAAGTTCATGCGTAAACGCCGGGCTCAGCTTTGATACCCTGTGAGGATGGGGCTGGCTTTTCGCCCAACGAAGTAACACGAAACGGACGTTTGGCAAACGAAATACGTGTAAGGTTCCAGATGAACAAATTTCAGTTCTAGTTCACTGGTACTAGACGGGATTATTGAAATTGAGCTCAAACATGCACTCGTGCGGTGAGGTGACTAAGCCACGACTTACTTCGCTCGCATACGCACGCACAATATCCGGTGTTTCGGGAACCAAGGAAAGTGCCCCGGTCTTCGTTTTGTATCGCTCGAAAGTGAGTGTATTGTACGTTCGTGAAAAGTCAGATAATCGAAAACGGAAGCAGCGCGTTCGGTCGCGGCGTGATAGCATGAGATGAATTGCTGCTCAGTCGAAACCGAAACTGAGTGGCCAACTAGTTCCCAGAGTGCACTGCGTGGTATTTCGCCGCGATGGGGCGCGTCGGTTTTGGAAATAGTCCATTCTCACGTAGTATGCCACAAAGCCAGTTGCTTTTCCGCAAAGTATATATATAAAAAAAAAAAAACGAAAACATTTAGTAAAAAATAAAGAGTGTGTGCCACTGCGCGAGAAGAGCAGTAAGCGATCGCGAGCCGACCTTGCAGAGACCCGATTCTCTGACATCACTTGGACGTCATTTCAAAAATAAGGCTTTCGTGTTTTTTTTTTTTGTTTTGCGGTGTTGCTCTTCTAAACAAAGCGAAATTTGTTTTTTTTTTTCTTTCTTTTTGGTTGTAATGTGTCAGCCAAGACGAATATTATCAAAAAAGGTAAAATGAATAAATTTAGAGAAAATGTCAGTTCCCTGCTAAATTTAGTGGGGAATTGAATTGGTGTTGTGGTCACGTGACGTCATTTTTCAGCTAAATTTAGCGGGGTAACCGTGGGAGGAGGGGAGGGTATAGAGGAGGAGGATGGGAGGGTGCACAGGAGGAGAAGGAGGGGCATACTCCTCCCTCTGTACCCTCCTCTTCCATAATCTCCCCTCCTCCTCCTCCGTGCCATACCCTCCTCCTCCAGCGTACCCTCCCATCACGGTTTATCACAAAATCAAAATACCTCAATAGCTGCACTCTAATTTCGCTTTACAGGGATTTTTAATCGTCTTTCAATTTTCTTTTCCTTGTCCGTTACAATATACGTATATACTACATATAATGTGTATGCTTCAACTTTTCCATCTAATTTTACGGCGCATCTAAGCATGACCGCGGGCGGCAAACTGCAGCGGGGTCGTCCAAAACTGTTTGTTTGAGAAAGGTCAACTTGCCTGTTCGTTCGTACTCGTCTGTAAAGAACAAAGATATTCACAGGGAGAAATTACTCAGCCGGGGGGCAAACAAGGGTCGGATTCAGTCCGGGCTGTGTTGGGGTTGTGTGTATAAATCACTGCTGGCGAGTGATTTATAATCACTCGCCAGGTGTGCTTCGATTTCAGCTGGAGCCGTTTCTTCGAAATCCATCATTTTAGAAATAACCCGCGCCACCTGGCAGAAAACGGGGTTCGAGCTCGAGTCCCAACATGGAACAATGCACGCATTAGGAAGGAGAAGCAAGAACTTATAGGGACAAACAGACGAGCGACATTAGGCACAAAGGGGACCTGGAGGGAGTCCGATCCACGTCACTGCAGCTCACTGAGGACGAGAACGCCTTAAAGGGACACTGACACCCCCCAAAAATTTTTTTTAATTTTTTGCCAGGCGCTTCATTATGGTGTCGGAGGACTACCCAATTAATATTTTGCAACAGAGTAGCGTATTTTTTTAATAAAACCAAAAGACGCAACTGCTCGAAACCGAAACCGAAACCCGACGGAGGTCGGAGAAGTGGAGAGAAGAGAGTGAGTGGCGGAAGTCACGTGGCTACACTCGACCGTGTGTTTTTTTTTTTTTTTGCTTTTTTCCGTAGCAGACGACATGCGGCGTACCGGAACTGTTCGCCGTGGGATTCTTTTGCAGTTATGTATGTTCCGCTCGGTTCCGCTCGTTGTTCTGTACTCCAAGGTGAGTCGTTTTGTACATTGAGGAGTTGGAGATGAGTAGTGAGTGCCCGTGGTGAATTTTGATCGGCTCCGAAAAGAATGCACCCAAGATGTTGCGTGAAGAGCTGGCTCACATGTCCTGCGTCCGAAACAGAAGTGGCATTGTGCGACAGAGTTTCCGATACATCAACGGGATGGGGACCAATGGCTGGCTGCAATTCCTGTAGACCATTTACGGGCACCTCGGAAAGCGGACGCTACCTGATTTATATGCTCCTTGCATTTTGTGAAAAGTGATTACATTGAGTTCGCGGGTGTCAAAAAGGAAATCCCATACCATTTAATTCAGCGACGCGTCGTCCACAACATTTGTTTCTCATTTTTTTTTTGTTTGTTTCTTCAGTAATAATTGTAAAAAAAGAAATGTAGACATAAAAAAATATTTTGAAAAAAAAAAAAAAAAAAAATGGAAGGTTTCACAAGGGATCGAACCCGGTCCTACCGCGTGTGAAGCGGACGTCTTTCCCACTGAGCTACTGGGGCTTTTTTTTTTTTTTTTTTTTTTTTTTTTTTTATTGCCGCTTTTGACAATGAACACAAACTCAACAGTCAATGATAATTACAATGATAAAACACGTGCACAACACATAGGGCTCGAGTATGAATGTTAAAATTCTTTCAGGTTCTCTAGAGCGTCCAACATTGGCACCCAGTCGGGCGGACACTCTAACGTGGCGTACACAGATTTCAGGCGGCTAACAGATTCCGTAAAATACAATCGAACGGGACGCGCGTCCACATCAGCATGCCTTACAGCCATTCTACTGCACCATATTGCATGCAGGCCCAGAAGCATAAGAAGGTCAACCGGAAGTTCGCTGTCTTTGTGAACAGGAAGGAACCTGATACCATGCGGTGTTAAAGTAAAATCTTTTTTAATAGTTCTCTGGAGAACATCCCAAAAAAGAAAGGCGTCCCAGCAGTCTAAAAATACATGTTCTGTAGTTTCGGGCTTTTTACACAGCAGACAGTCAACGCCCCAAGGGACGAACAGTTTTTTCTCATGAAGCCAAGTTTTTACTGGGAGAGTGTTTGTGTGTAACTTGAAGAAGAAGGTTTTAACAGAAGGTGGGATAGACATTTTCTTAACTCTAGATAACACGTCCTGCCCTGGGCCAGCATGAAACATAGAACGGTAGACAGGAACAGGAAAGACAGCATCTATAATATCACGCGTAAGGCGTTTTCGGGTGACAGCTGACAAGTACTCAAAAGAGAACCGTACAGTCAAAAACCGGCAAGCATCAATCACCTCGCGAAGAAAACTACCAATTCGCCTTTGCCTTTTGTAACATGTAGAAACAACGAACGAAGGAATTTCCTCCGCGAGTCTAGTCTGAATGACAGCACGAAGAAAAGGATTAGTTTGCTCTCTAAAAAACAAAAACCGCGATACAACTTGCTTAACAAAGATATGTGATAGGGACAGCCCGCCTTTTTTGACGCAGCGAAACAGATTATCGCGACATACTCTTTCCCACCCAGACCGCCAAATGAATACAGCAAAAACACGGTGTAATTTTTGTACATTTACTCTAGCGCAAGCCAAAACTTGAAGTACATACCAAAATTTTGCAATTAAGAAAATGTTGCAGACAGTGGCACGCGTAAAAATTGACATATCCCACCCACCCCATTTACCCGCTTTCTCTCGCGTCTCTTGAATCACCGTCGACCAGTATTCATTTGATCGTTT